CCGCAATCCCTGCAATGATGGCGAATCGCCAGAGGCATTTTAAACAATTTGAAGACGTCATTCAGAAAGTCCTTCAGGCAAATAGCTTCTTCAATAATACTGAGACGTCGCCAGGAAATTTTCTCGGCGCTGAAAGCCTGCAATTCTTCTCCCTCCTTCGTCTCTTGTTTAGTTATCCAAAAAAGGGTCTATTTGGTTAGAGCGCTTTCTACTCCCTCTCTTCGTTCGACCACTATCCCCTTATCTCACGAGTCTGGCCGTCGTTGCGTTGAAGTCACCGCTCATCCCCTTTCCCATCAAGTTTTTGCTGGGTGGGAAAGCCTGCTGCATCGCGCCCAAAACAGCAGCCTTTTGAAGAATCCCCGCAGACACTTGGGATGGAATGTGCACTTGGGTAATACATGGGAGCTTTCTAAAAGCAATCTACGCAATGTTTTCAAAGCCTTCCAGTCACGCTATGCTCGCCTTTTCAAAAATTCCCCATAACCCGGACTGGACATGTAGGCTTTCCCATCTGCTGGGCCTTATTTCGATGATTCCGCCTGCTGGAAGAAAAGCGAATCGTTAACGAGTATTCATAGTACTGACTCCCTAGAGATAGCTCCGGGGGCGTTAATTCTGGAGCATGGGGCGGAAGTTGATGGTAAAAAGTGACGTAGTTAGAGAGTACACAGTTCGAAGTCAAAGCTCAGGTCAAGTCGTGCCCAAGCAAGTCACTCTGCCTTCTACGACCTACTTATGACTTTTGATTTGCACAAGCACCATACACTTCTGAAAGGTAGAACTTCATGTACTATGGCTGGTTTTAGGCCATTTCATTTCAGGGAAACACATTCAAATATCAATTCAAGCTCAGATAAAGGTGTGTGTAGGCAGGGTCAACCGTCCGTTGGACAAAGTTCAACGAGGGGGTGGGGGGGTCGTATTTCGCGAGGTAGCGTTAATGTTACAGGGATGACTTTTTATGGAACGGAGAGCGGATTGTTGTTGGCTGGGATTTTGAGTGCGAAAATTTTGCCGTTTCACGTTCGATATATACCCTTCCCCTCCCGAGGCAAGGCTCTCCAGAAGGGGAATGGGGGTCGTATATAAACGTTTTTCCAAAATTGTCCCATGGGCGGCTTGACCTGTGTTGTAGGTGTACCCTCGAAGTTTCTTATCCGAAATCTGCCGTAATCTCCCTGAATTCCTGTTGCTGAGACTCTGATATTGGCAAATGCATTACCTAATATGTAGGAAAGTTTTCAGCAAGATATTTTGTGTTGGGACACGAGGGGGAGAGAAACTTTCACATAGTGTGCATATGCCTTCCTAGTAGGCGTAGTCTAGTTACGGTTTAATTGGCTGACAAGCTAGAGGCTGAGCGCTTTGTTTCTGGGGCTGATTTGTCTCTTGCATACCAGTTAGTCACTCATTTGGTATGGCATTGCAGTACTACCAAATATTGAAAACTGAACAATTCCTGCAAAGCTTCTGGTTCGGAAGTCGAAAGTCGAAAATCAAGAAAATCCCTTGAGTCGCTTGAACTTCAAAATCTGAACTGTGACAGGAACTCTCGTTGCAAAAGTCGGAGGACAAAAAGTATCAGGCGCTCTTCGTATGACCTGAATGCATTTGGAAAGCGTGGGCAGGTCCTTGGGAAATTTCTTTGAGAATGGTGAAGAATCAATTTCAAAGAGCCCGTCTCAAATATTTGAATAGCACAAGTCCAAGCTATCAATTCCGGGATCGGGATTCGTGGAGAGCGGAATGCACATTTTTTAGTCGCACTTTGCACTGCGAGCCGGCGCGAGGATAGTCATTAAGCGAATTCTGGGTCGTTTCTGACTTAATCACGCCAGAAGCCTCAAGAGCCGTTGAGTCAATTACGACGAAGATATCACGTACCAGACTTCATCGTCACTTCCGGGTTCTTCACATCCGAATAGCAGTATGTGATGGGCTTCTTGATGCGAACATTTGGTTGTGCGGCTGAATTTGACACGAATAAGAACAGTCTACTGAAAATAACTCATACATAACTTACTGATGTAGATGCTCGTTTCAGGACAGTGGAAACTGATGTAAAAGTACGCTTCTCCTGAACTAGAGTGCCAATGAGAAAGGGGGATTTAAAAATAACAATCTACCCCTGCTTGATTTTACAGTGTTTTGGGAAACCAATAATATTGACCAATTTCTTATACGGTAAGGGATAAGGCCTTTGCGTATTGTTGCTTCGTAAATTAAATTCAGTGTGACGTAGTGCTAGCGTTTGCGGCTGCCATTACGCGTTCAACTGCCCTGCCCTTTAATGTTTCAAGTATCACAGCTCAACGGCATGCAGTGAGAGACGCAGAATGTTGCACTCACTCTGACTGTCTGCGCTCTGACCTGCGAAGTTATTGGCTTCAATTTAGCAATAGAGTAAGAATGATCCATCTTTTCAGAGAATAGTTCTTTCCCATGGAACTCATCCAGAGTAGTTCGAACCATATGTGGAGCCAAACGTGGAATCGGGGTTGGAAAATGAAAAAATTGTAGAGGCTGGGTTACGGTAATTGAAAGAGGAAGGAGGAAACGGAAGTGCTGATAGCACTCAAAACGGGGTGCTTTCTCTGCCTTTCATTTTAATATTGGATTGGTTCAGGAGAAGAAAGACTCATTGGGCCGAGAGACCAGACGACGAGGGCGCTAGAGAGCTTTGAGACAAGCGAGACGCAGACATTTTCCGAAAGGTCAATTTCAAGGCGGATTCTCTCGCGACGAAAGGAGTCGTTGGGGTAACAACTTCTCCTACACATCTTCGAGTCATGAAGTTGGACACAACTTATGTGCTTGTGAGCTAATTCATGTAATCCATGGAAGAAATTTTTCCACTCGGTTAATCTTGGAATGTGCCTTCAAAATTGAATTTCTAAATCATTCCGATAAACGCCATGCATTTGACTTGATTGGAAGTTTTACAAGTAATTGAAGGTATACTGATTCCAATAGTTCTGTTGTTGACATGGCTCGTGTCCTATGATCTCGGAAAATTACCATGTCGTTTTGCTTATGTTGGATGCTAAGGGCAGGTGATTGCTCAGTTTCTAAATTTGGGAAAGAAGTTAGATGCATAGCTCCGGAATTCGTAATTCCTATAAGTGCCTCAGAAACCATAGCCATTGGTAATTTACGCACAAGGCCATTGCAACCTTCTGGAATGCGAGCGAGCTGAGTGGTCAGCACAGTTGCGTTTGGAATTGGCTTTCGTTTTACCATTTGTTGCACACACCACGCACCATTCCATTGGAGTCACAATTTATTACGGCGTTGTTGGTGTGGCGCATCCCGAAGATGCTTCAGAGGGCCACGTTATTTGTCACACTATTCCATCGAGATGCCGTTTAATCACGCATCTTCAAAATATTCCCTGGCATGCGACGTCACCACTGGCGGAAAACATCGCCGTCGTTGAAGGAAAAACGTTGACGGGCCACACGGCATCGATCGAGGGTAGGCTCAGATGACGTGAATTGGCTCGCCGACGCCAACATGATGACGTGAGGAACGGGCAGATGAGGAGCGCTCAAAGAACGTCCAGCAGTCCTTGTTCAGTGCTGCGGGACTGCGTTCGTTCCCCTAATTTCCGTCTCACACATGCGCTCTTATTCCGACGAAGTATGCATCATCGAGTACAAGTTTCCTTTCTGAAAAAGTGCGGCGTTCGGTGAAACCAATCACCATAAGTGGCCTTCTCATAAAGGTTGGGCTAAAAGAAGGAAGTCAGCATTCACACGCATACAATACGCGACCTCGGAAGTTTGAAAGGGTTTTCATAAGCAAATTCGTTGAAAATCTTCACGAAAGAGATTTGAGAGTTCGCTCTATGAAAGCATATTAACTTTGCTCATCTAATAATGACTGGGACGTTAGTCGCTCTATGTGTGCGCCCTAAGTTGGCCCCTCATATTATTTTAGACTTTCAGGAAGATCTGCGGCCAATCCTTGCTCAGAGTGATATCAAGACTCAGCCTAATTCGGAGATCGTTCTCACACCGCACAACAACGAACATGCCTATCACATCAAGATCGGCGGGCGATCAGATGGCCATCAAAAGCACCAAGATTGAAAGTCGGCTCAGTGTGTTGCCTTGTGATGAGCGCGATCCAGGAGGCCATCTTTATGATGGCTGTTTCCTGTGGTCCGTTCGACTACAGGTCTGAAAACAGCAACGACGTACCCGTCGATGGCATAGTACTCTGATGAGGTGCCAAAACACTCGGTCGAAATGGTTCGTTGGCTGATTCTAATGGTCCGAATAAAAAGATTCATTTTTCGGGTGCAGCCTCTGAGGAAGCGACATTTATGGTTAGAGTTTATAGCGGCAGCT